GGCGTTTTGGGAACGCCGGACCCCCAGGAGCGAAAAATTCCGACCGGATTTTGGCAAAAAAAGTCAGTTTTGATTTCGTTCAAAAAAAATAATATGTCCGTTTTGACGAAATGGCTGTTCCTTGGCATCGTCATTTGTATACTGGCTGTACTTCTAGATCTCTTAATGATAGATGGAAGGGACATGCTGTTTTTACGCTGTCCGGTTGTTTATGGAGAAGGGATGAGAAGGTTGTTTGTTAACAATTCTGGTCTGCAAGGAATTGAGGACGAGGAAGAGGTGGTTTTGTCGAATTGCTGTAAGGACTATAGGAAGAAGAAGCTTTCCCAGTCTGCACCGTGGGCTAAGGGGGGTAACTAGGTCGCTCGTACGTACTGCCTAAACATAAAGACACAAGCAGGTGGTGTCCGATCGACCCTTCCTGGTCTGAACTTACGTGCCAAGCGGCTCGGGTTACATTTGCGTGTGTAAATGAGTTGATGAGGAGGATTCCGGCGAATTGTCATTTTAATCTTAGTAGTACGCAGTTATTACCACGTTTTATTAACAGAGTTAATAAGGGTGTTATGGAGGGGGATGAAATTGTGGGCCACATCTATGATGTAAAGGAAATGTTATGTCAACTTCCTCACCAATCCATCCTATCTGCGGTAGAGTGGACAATCATTCTGTTTGAGGAGAAGGTTTTCTTTAAGTTTCTCTACTGTGCCCGTAGGAAGCGTGTGCAGCATTGTCGGATTGCAGTCAGTGAAGTAGGTTGTAAATCGGTGCGTTTTTTGTTGCTGCTTCGCTTTATTTCCTTTGATATTAATAATACGTATACTACGGCAATAGGTCGAGTGGTGAAGCAAAACGTGGGCATTCCCATGGGCAAAGCCTCAAGCCCGGCACTTGCGTGTTTGATGTGTACGCATTATGAATACTCCTTCCTACAGGGACTAGGTAGTGATGCTAGGCTGGTTAAAGGATGCCAGTTGGTGGATGATTCCCCTTGTTCATTAGATCACGAGTTGGGGATGTTAAAGCGGCTCAGAAATCGGAGCGATTTTTTTTTTTTTAATAACCAGATCGTCCGACATAGCCGGCGCTGGGGTATTGACCCTGTAACCTGCTTAGGGGCTTGCCGCTACGGGAATTGTCGAGGGAGGAAGGCATTTCCTGTCCGTCAGAGCTAGGTTGATCGGTACTGGGGAGGGTTGTGGTGCCTTGTTACCCTAGCAGAAGGGGGTATGAGATCAAGTGAGTTCTGGTACAAGGGCTGAAAGCTTGGACCGACGCTCTATCTATTGGAAGGGGGAATCTAGGATAGTGGTCAGTTTTAGTTTTGCCCCCCCCGTTCTTTAATTTTTAAAACATTTTTTGAAGGTCCTAAAGAGATTTGGGTGCTTAGTGGTCCTAGGATGATTTTAGGACTTAGGGATCCCCACCAACTTGTCTTACGTGGCGTCATCACTGTTGTACTCAAGACCTCCGGTTGTTCGATGCCAGAACGACGCTGGCCGGAGCTGGGGTGTTGCCCTGTAACCTGCGATGTGGGAGCGTGAGGTCTGGTAGAGAGATCTAGGGAGGTCGGAGCTGGGGTGAGTTGCGTTGCCCTGTAACCCAGCAGAAAGTGGGGGTGTGAGACCTGGAAGAGAGTGGCAGAAGTGTACGA